TGATCGCTCTTCTATGGAGCACAGAAGAAGCACACGAACTGTCCGACTTCGATTTTAGTGTGATTCTGCAGAATGATAGTTATCCCTTTTGGTGTACGTAAAATATTAGACGTAAATACTCAACACTTTTTAAAATATAAATAATCAAAGTGGGACAATTATGAGTTAGCTCTGTATAACGACTATTCACAGGACATGTTGTAAAATTTAATATTAATTCAGTTCATAAGTTTTTGTGTATTTTTATACCGAAAGAAAATATTTACCAAGTAGGAGTTTATTGATGTTGCAATACTGTAGCAATTAGGAGAATTGCTTTCATCAGAGTTTAATGACGCTCATATAATTATAATCACATATCGAATCTTCTGTAAGTATCGTAGCCTGGTGTAGACTGCAGGACACTTACAAACAATTAATCGCATAATATACACGAACTTGTAAACTGAATTAATATTCAATTTTACAACACATCCTGTGGATAGTATTTATACGGAGCTAACTCCTGATTATCCCACTTTAATTATTTACATCTTAAAAAGTGTTGAGTATCTACACCTAATATGTTACATACATCAAAAGGGATTGTTCTACTATCATTCTGCAAAAGCACATTAAAATCGAAGTCGAACAGACTGTAAAAAATTATTTGCTTTATATATTAACTTCTCTAAAACATCATGAAAGTAGACGTTTGGTTGATCTCTAATTCGAAGTTTATTCAAGAACAGTAAATACAAATTTTAAACTCATTCGTAAACTGCTACTCCCGTTATTAGAGAAATTATTCATATACAATTAGTCTATTAACGATTTTTCTTTTAACTCAAATCTTAATTAAAGCCTTAAATAAAAACGCTGGTACGAATGAATATAGAGTATTTATTTGTTATTTACGAATAAATTTTCCCCAACTCGGTTGACGATTTATCAGAACTGAAGTATCGCGAAAATTTAAATAAAAAGATATGAAGTTCCTTTAATTGCATTCGTTAATGCAAGATGAGAGGGCGGGTAATTAACGAGGAGATCGCAAGAAAGGCGGTCGATTGGATAAAATACAATCCTAATTTCGTAGACAATCGTCGATGTCTAATCGCAAGGCGTGTTCGTGCTGAACTGCCTTTTCCCGGCCTGGGAAAGTCCCCACGCAGTCCTCTTAACGAAGGCTTTTCAAGGGATTTCCAACATTAATGTATCTAATGTGTTCAAAAGCTACGTTAAATCACGTGTACGAATAAAATATTTCATCTTCAATGTCGTTTGTCGTCAGCTTTGCACGCTATCCATTTTTGCGTAGTATGAAATAAGTACCAATACGATAGTAAAAGATTGGAAAAATAATGTTCGATTAATCGACGCGGTAAATTTTGACCATTGCGTTGATTGTTCAAAGCAAAAAAAATCGGAAGAGTCCAGGCTCGAGTCTAAAACTGTATTCTTAAGCTACATTAGTAAGTATAAAGCGAAGCAACCAAAAAACCATCGCCGTACGATGGATGACTTTGTACCGGAGTTGTGCTAATTCAATTACACAATTTAACTACGCTGTATTTCAGTTGCCTCGCGATTCAATTACGTTACAATTAAATTACATGATTCAAACTTTCCAGCTAATTTGATTACTCATAATTCTAATAATTAGTATAATTGAAGTACAACGTAATTGAAATACAGTGCAATTGAAGTACAATGTAATTAAAATATAGTGTAACCGAATTACAACTGTCTGAATTACAGCTTACAACGTTGACAAGCTACGATTAATATATTCCTATGATTACGTTACGAATGTTCGTTTCTTGACTATAGAGCGTGTTTTCATATTTATAATATGAATTTATCATCAGTTAATGTGACTATTATCAAGTGGCGATAAGCTAAAAATGTTCTTTCTCCAGTTTGTCCCTATTAAATAATGTATTTCATTTCGTTTATATGTATATTAATTTTGTTAAATGAGTGGCATCGTGCCATTATTCTTTTCCTTTAATATATATTGCGAGCTTAATAAATAAGAGTGTATCGTACATTATTTATTTTTCATTTTTCCAATGTTTATTTTAGAATTTAGGGAAAATACGATGCAGTCTTTATTTCTGTTGTGATATTATAAGTTTATAAATAATAACCGACACAGTAATTACTTTCTGTTTAAAGTTCCTATCTATTAATTCGCAATTGTAACTCAATTACATCGTAATTTACAATTAACGTAAATTAATTACATTCTTTTTGTAATCACATGCCAATTGGAATTACGAATTATATTGTAATTTAATCGAATGAAAAATCTGAATTATGAATTGCGATGTAATTCAATCATTTTGTAATTATAATTCTTGGGAGTAATTCAGTCGTAATTCTGCACAACTCTGCTTTGTACCAACCAACCAGGTTGAGATATTGTAATTCTCGAGACATTGCGATTATGGGTATGATAACGAATGCGTGTGCCAACGGTATAATAAACTAGCGCGTGTATACTCACGCGCCGTGTACTTGTCTATGTACATAAAGAAAATGATAAGGATAGGACGAGGCGATTTTCGGGAGTCCTCGTTCTTGCTTTTCGTCTTCACCATCGAGGATAATTTAGCTAAAAGAAACCTAGAATTAAGCGTAGACCAGCAAATAAGTTTAGCGACGAAACCTCGCCAACTGGAATCTTTTTCAATGGCCTCGGGATCGAGAGGCGTCGTATTTGTGTCAGCGTACATTTTTAACGGGGGAAAAAAAATTACCACTAAGGATAACGATAAACATTGATAAAATAAGCATGCGAAGATAACGAAGTTCGCGAGTTCCGCGATGGCAAAGGGATGGAGATGTCGATAGAAACGAAGCCACTGCAAGCATTTCTACGATAAGAGGATCGTGTAAAAATCGTTTCGCGGAACGTGCGAACCGATGGCTTTTAAGGAACATATGTGGCACATGATTGTATGTTGTTTCAAATAAAAACATTGTTGTTTTGTATACTATACCGTCGCCGAGATTTTCGTGCAATACTATACAGGGTATCCCATGGCACGTGGGACCCACTTCAAAAATGGATTCTACACAAGAAAGTAATAACAAAAGTTCATATAAACATGTGTCCTATTTGACCCTGTTTTGAAGTTACAGCGAGTTCTGTGTTGAAATACAGGGTATAAACGATAACTTTGGCAAAAATCATAGGGTAAGTAGAGGTCCCATAGGCAAGTATTTTGAGCATGGGAACCCGTGTCCGGAAATGCACCAGTAAAGCATTACGGCGATCTTTAATTTTGGTCTTTCGCGCCTGATGTGGCATTCCATTTAAAAAATTGAGGGTCGCCTTCTGTTTCGCTAGGAAAGTAGAAACCGGGCCGGATGCAAAAATCAATATAGCGGGCACGTGTCGCAGGAAACACCGTTCTCGAAGGATCAAGAATGTTTGCACCTGGCTTGAAGAGAAGTAAAGGACGATCGGGAAGAATAGATGTACATACAAAGACAGGACTCCGATCGCCTGGGGCTACTCAGAACAGAACCGCACGAGACAGTCAGAACGAAGTCCATCATTCAATTCATAAAAAATCAACAATTATTTTAAAATTAATTTAGTAAAATAACGCGCCGCGAACCCGTATGGTGAGCTAGAGATTTACAAGCCCGAGTGAGGAAGAAATCTGGGCGATCACGAGTGATGAGGTCGCGATTACGATCGGGTCGTTACACCTTCATTTCTCGAAAAATAATGTGAATATGCAATTGATATACACTGTCCTATTAGTCATAAGAAATTTCATTTTTTTCCAATTAGAATAGTTTTCGAAAAAATCGCTGGCTAGTAATAACGTGAACACTCTGTATACTTCATACAACTATAGAGAACAAAATTTGGTATTAAGAAACTTCCAGTATATTTGGTGTTCATAAGTTTCGATGAAACTGTATAAATCTGTACATTATTGATAAAATTTTTGGAATTTGAAAGTTAACTATATATTTATATATAAGTTTATAATATAGTTCTAATAAATTAATTGAGAATTACTCAAGATAATTCTTTGTTTATACAAAATTTTTAAACAAGTTTTGTATTATTTGATATAAATGTAACGATGTATTAAATTTTAAATAGTTATTAATATGCATTAAATGCATTTATAAAAGACTTTATTTATTTATGCAAAATTTTCAAGACATACTGAAAGTTTCAAAACCTATGAAGAATTCCAGATCCGCTAAGACTTTCAAGACACGTGAAAACTTTTAGGATTCATAAAGACTTGCAAAAGTGCCTGGATTCCAAAAATAATGTTATTGTATGCCCAACACGTTTCAGAGGCTAAAATCTGCTGTTCCGAGCATAGCAACCACCTTATATCCTCATGTAAACGACGAAATTAAAACTATAAAGTATAACTGGATTATACGGAGATATTCGCTTTATGGAGATCGATCATTCTAGATAAATATCAATAACGGAAATGAAGAATATAATGTAAAAAAATAATTCATTTAATCTTTTTAATCATGCACGAAATTTTTAATTAAGAACGAAATGGTATCGCCTACAGGCAATGCTATTCAAGTCGACAGCAGTACTAACAGATACAAAAATACATTTTCATTGAAAATAATTATTGACTCACTTTGTTTTAAATTACGACCCTACGACGATATTATTTTTATAATAAAAAAGAATTCACTGCTTGTTTATCGAGAAATAGTTCGTCGTTCTCAGCACTAGATGGAGAAACAAGTTTATTAGGAGAGTTTTCGGCATGCGATTGGTAAGGTCACGTTTGTACGTTGCTCGTGTTTCTGCAGTATTTATTTAATAGTATAGTGATATATTTAAATAAATATATTAAGAATTACAAGGTATATGATGTAATCTTCACTACTGAAGTAATTTGATTTTATTAGTCTTCAATTTGGTCTATAATACTATTGTATTTATAAAAGTGAGGTTAAGTAACCCACACCACGTTTTTGTCCGCAGCGAGAGACGCCTTTCCTCCGGACCTGATGAAGTGTGAGAAAAACGAAGTTAAAATGATAGACTGGGATCAAATAGAGTGTACGATACTAAAATCAAAAAGAAATTTGTTATTAAAAAAAGAAATTTCAAGATTCTTAATAGAATAGAAACTATGAACTCAATACTAGATCAGTCTCCTCGCCGGTAAATGTTTATTTTAGTGGCTTTGCCATAAATTTGTTTATTTTTGTTTGGTTCTAATAGTTTTTTCAAAAATTATTCACTCTAGGTTTCGAGATGCACAGTTTTTGTCTTAAAGGTCTAGCTAAAGCTAAAATTCAGTTTGATAGCTATATGGAAGCAAACAAGCTACTCAATTCTGGCAAGTTAAAGGATCTAGGCATCTCTGTGTATGTTCCCAGATGTAAATTAAAGAGAAAAGAAGCGTTGAAAGGTTCAACAAAGAATTTGACACTGACGACCTATTAAATCAAGCAAAGCCACCCTACAAAATTTTATATATAAAAAAAGCTCAATAGGAAGATCTTTGATCCTCTCATTAAGTTACATACTTGGGTTCAGAGTAACACAATATTCACCATGTTTGAAAGTTCGACTCTCCCGCAGAAAATACAATTATATAGTTTGCTACATCAGGAAATTACACCGTACATCAAATCAGTCAAGGTATGTATAAACTACTTCAGATATGGACAAATTACCAAATACAAGTAGCCCTACTACAACACATCCTATAATATGATTTCTCTATAACACGATTCATAAATTGTGAGAACCTTCCTACAACACGGTTTCGCTTTAACATAATAAGAAAATTGCAAAAATCTTTGTATAACACTGTACTCCTACAGCACTGAATAACATGATTTTTGCTTACCATAATTAAAAACTAAATTACCTTAAAATAATGACGCGAAGGAATAATGAACTATAGTGGCCTTACATGAAAATATATAAACAAATTATAATTTATTAAATTAGGGTTGTGTTAAATTAAAATAATATTTTTTGTCTTTTTTTTTGTTTTGTGTTATACATACATTTATATTTTTCATAAAAATTAAGTTGTTTATGTAGAATTAAAAAAAAATATTTGTTTTTAATAAGTTTTTGGAACGTAACTTCTCTTTTTATACTGGCTCTGGGTCTCATGTAACATGGTTTCACACAAAACGGTATTTTCTAGGTACCTAAGAGAGTTACCTGTCTTGAGAAGTTCAAACACCTGCTTTTTTTTTATAGGTTAACCATTCATGACCAAATTCATTCCTGCAAAGTAACATGTCTCCTGCTCTCACCAACAAAAATAATGGCTTTTGTATGGATCACATTCAAAAGAGGGACCTTAACATCTTCTTCTGGAAGTGTAGATAGACCCTAACAACAACAGAGGAAATGCTTGAATATGCTCTACATTATAAGGTAACAATTTATGTAGAAACTTAAGCCAACTTCTTCTTTTTCTCTTTTCTGGGCTTAGAAAGTACAATACTATTATATGCAAATAATATTAGTTTTGTAACTGAATCTATCGATTCACCTGAAGTCTAAGATCTTTAATCTTAACAATTATTATTATTCTGTTGGGACCAGTTGAAGCTTTTATAAATAAGTAAATTGATTATTATTATATTTTTATATTAATTATAAGTGAAAACATTTTTTTCCATTACTAATTAACCCATTTGCATCCGCTAGTGGATTATTCCGCACATGATGGTCGTCTCTTATCACCGCGCGAACTATTCCGCGAATCGTGACTTTCTTTTATCACTGGTCGCGAACTATTTCGCATATAACACGGTTCGCGTATTGTTGCCAATCTGTGAACATTTCAGCTGTTCTTATTGTGTTTGTTTGGTTTATGACACGGAACAACGTTTAGTCAAGCCAGCAAAACTATAGGATTTCGTTAGCAAGTACAAAGTGTCATAAACTTAGTCAGCGAAGGCAATCCCGGGTGGTTGCGATCCCAATGAATTGTTAAATAAATGAGCCATATTAAATAAATTCTATGAATTATTCTGAAGTCATTTACTGTAGAAGTTAACGAAAATAATTAAATTCCCAATATATGGCCGTGCGCGGTGATATGGGTCAAGTTTGGATGGCACTGATGTTTTTGTCGTTGAGCTCAACAACTTAACACTACATCTACCGCGATCGGTCAAATGACCGTTTTTAAAATTTCGTTTAAAATTTCTAACACACAATATTATTTTCGCGCCATTTAACTTCACGACATTTCTTATAGCACACTTACAATGAATTTTACAACATTCACTTCTATTCTTATTGTTTGTTTTCTGAGAAAAATATATAGTCTCTCTTGCCTACCACGGCCGGTCATTTGACCAGTTAAATGATCTATATTTTTTTGTAAAAAACTGGACAGAAGTTTTTTCCATAATTGAGCCACCGTTGGAAGCGGTAAACCTTCCCCTTTAAAATGGCTTTTAATTTTTGGCGATCCGGTAGGTTCAGTGTTAAGTAGAGCCATGATACAAATGGGTTAAGAATTTTATACTTTCGTAAGTCCATAGATACTATGTATCAGGTACAATAGTTCAGGTACATATAATAGTAAAATATCATGTTATACAAAAATAATAGTATGACAAAGTGTATATTTGCACTTGCATTTCTTTAATCTGTGGCTTACAATTTGATCTTATTTATATTGTATTATGTATGTCTATATTCTTTTGTTGGAAATGTTAAATGCTATACATATTTTCACATCGTGCGTCTTAATATATACATATGCACATATGTATACAAAGAGGTGCTTAGGCGGCACGTCAGAAAGCTATAAATATATTGAATGTAAATTGTCTTAAGGGTTTATAGATTTATGTCATATGAAGCATAGAATATTTTTTAGACTTTGATATTTGGATCGTTAAGAAATTTTGTGATGTTACGTGGTAGAAATCAGTTGACTTTTTTCATGTTGTGGACCATAGTGTCTCATTGGTTAAACACTAACCGATATTGGGCAGTTCCCTCGAGGTAGCGCAACACTCCTCTTGCTGCGTTCCAATGTGTTCGACTGTAACTATTATTAAATTGACTCAGATAACTTATTGCAAATGTTATATCCGGCCGAGTCGTCACTGCTAAATACATTAGACATCCTAACAATTCTCTATAAGGCAATGTTTCACATTTTCTCGATACATTACATTTACTTAATGTATAAGGGACCGCAATAATCGACGCCTACAGACTCGAACGACACGATTTTTTGGCAAATCTCCCATAATCGCGCTTACCGACGAAGGGCGCGCCCGGAAACAGGTAGTGCAATTTCGTATTATGTGCCGCGTGGTATTTTTGCCGTCGATGACCCAGTAGGTTTATCTGACCGCGTTTAACGTGGTCTGTATTCCACCATGATATGTCTTAAGATGATTTCCCCGAATAATCAATTTGGTGATGTGTTGAGCACGTGGTAATAGAATAGGATGCCTTTGCTGAAACTCTAGCTCAGAGTTATGTAGCCGGCCACCTACACGTAAAATACTCTGCTCGTCCATAAATGGATTTAAATTTAGAATTTTGCTGGTTTTGCTTATTTGGTTACGCGTCTTTAACTCATTTATTTCTTTAGCGAAATATTGCTCTTGAACAATTTGTATGATACGGTCATGAGCGCGGTTTAATTCCTCGACATCTAAAGCCCCCTTTCGATCTGCCTTCCGCGTGGCGTTCATATAGAAGCGAAGACAATAAGCTACGACCCGTTTCAATCGGTTTATAGAGGAGAAGCGACTAAATATATCCATATCGTATGTTGTTTTGAGTACCGTAACGGGACGCAGTTCCGGAATATTTGTTAGCGAGACGCGAGTGACGGGCCATATTTTTTCGGTTTCGCGTAACCAGAAAGGACCTTGGTGCCACAGCGGATTTCTCAAAAACTCAGCTGGAGTTTGACCCCGCGATATAGCATCGGCGGGAATATCTAACGAGGCTACATGGAACCATTCGCTCGGTTCAGTATGCTCTTGGATGTTTGACACGCGATTTGCCACGAAGGTTTTGAGCGTATGCGGTGGTGTATTTATCCAACACAGGGCAATTGTCGAGTCTGTCCAAAATCTTACGGAATTGAACTTCAACCTAAGCGCGTTTTTTATGCTAACATATAACTTGCTTAATAAGACGGCCGCGACGACGTCCTCGCCGGCGTGCCATGTTGTTGCAGTGGACCCCCCCAGACGGGGATCCGGCTCGAAGGACCAGCTCTTTCGTGGTTTAGATGTGAATGAGACTTGGTGTACAAGGTTATTTTGGGCAGGAAGAGCCACCACCCAAATATGCTCGCAATCGGTGCAACGATGCACAAGTTATTCGAAAACGTGAATTCGACTAGGAAACTACCTTACCGACCGCGGTAATAATCGCAAGGAAACAATGCAAATTAGCGAATGTGCGCACAGTCGAGCCCCCTCACCTCGACAAGGTTTTGCATACGAGGGGGGTACGACCCCCGAGGGGGAAGGGACGCGACTGATCGTTTTTCAACACTACTCACTCACTGCTGTCCGTGTGAGGAGAAACCGAACATAATTTATCGAATGTCAGAATGTCCCGTAATTTATATAAATATTCTGAAATTTATGCAAAAATTGAAATTTATTGATTATTCATGATTGAATAGCATATTTCAACTACGTAGTTTCTAGGGTTTCTTAAACTTGCAACGAAATATGTATGGAAATTGCAATTATAACAATTCATAAAGAAATATAAACAATCAATTAAATAAATAACACTCGGAAATATTCAATCGCGATCAGAATACAGTTAAATATAAACTATTCCAATTTATCGTCGATATCTACCGACGCCATTTCTGTATACTTCGATATATTGTATTTACATATATCGAAGTGGATAAAAAGTTTGTCAAAGATTTTCATAATTTATCTTAACAATGGCCGATTATAAAATTATGATCATGCTTGCAACGAATAACGTAGTGAAGAGATAAAAATATATAAATATTGATATGGATGTTAATTTTTGTAATAATTGTTTAGAAGTTACCAATATTCCCTCCAAAATTTGTTATTATATATCGAAAAGGGTAAAATGTTCATCAACCATTTTCATGAATCTTAACAATGACCGATTATAAAATTATGATCATGCTTGCAACGAATAACGTAGTGAAGAGATAAAAATATATAAAAATTGATATGGATGTTAATTTTTGTAATAATTGTTCAGAAGTTACTGTTAAAAATAAACACTAACGAACGGTCTGTTGCAAAGATTTTATTTTATTGATATAATACACCTCTTTTCATTTTATAATATGGTAGCACAGCGTGGTTACGATCCACGGACCTCTGCAGTTTTTGATTATTGCCTTATTGCTAACAAATATAACCCTTTTCTCATTTTTAGTCAAAGTAGCTACGGATAGTAAGTACATAGATTTGTCTTTAAGGGGGTCGTCTTATGTGACGGGTGATTTTTTTCGCTTTTTTGGGGAATTTTTTTTGACGAGCCATGAAAACACAATATCTTGGGGGTTGTACTATATATTTATTAATATTTGAACAGTTATTCAGAATTTTTTGAAGTTAAAATATCCAGTGGAATTGACTTTACAACTCTCGAAAGAGACAGGTGCGAAACAAAAGTTGGTCGACGGCTGACATGATTCCGGCTGTCCTGTTCATCTGAAATCAAAAAATCAAACGGCACATTAATTTGTAAACTTGTGGCTATAGCCGGTACCAGAATGAAGTCAAAATATTGTAAATTTAATGTTTAGCACAGTTTTGAATATGAAATTACGATTTTCGTTACTTTCTATTGAGTTCTTTAGCTTGAAAAAAAAAATTTGGCAGATATCGCAATGATTCTGGTACGGGCTGGAACTATGAATGTACTGAACATGCCATAAAAATTTGAGCGATATTGATTCAGTATTTTTTGAGATATCGTGTCAGGTAATGTGAAAAATGCAGTTTTGAGAAAAACGCGATTGAAAGTTCAAGTATGCATTACACAAAGAAAATGTTAACTCACTATTAGTCTGCTATGCCTGGTCCATATAATTGACCTTCCTCTGCCTCGTGGAAGTCCCGCAAAGCCGCTTGCTCCTCCCTGCTATCAATCCTGGCTTGTTTTGCCAAATTACTCGAGCGTCGCTCGGACCGGTCAATGCGGGCATTGTCGCGATGCTGAGCATAGGGTAGAACATTGAAGCCAATTTGCAAGCCCAATGTATGCATCGTCTTCAAAATTGATTGAAACCCTTCATTAAAAATAATCACAGCCAAAAAGCAGGCAATCTCAACGATCTTTGGGCCAGAATGAAGGTGTTTCGGTGCAAACGTCCAGATGAGCGAATTGAGCGACTCATTATTATTTTGAGTTTCCGCTCCCAAACATCTGGTCAATAAATTTTCCCTGGATAAATCTTCGTAGATGGGTTTTATTACATTC